ATCGAATAAGTAAATACTAGTTGTTCACTTTGAGTCTTTGTATTTTCGACTCGTGCTACTCGCGGGACTGGTTGTTAGACAAATATTGATGGGTATACGGTTATTATTAGTTATTTATATTACCTATAGCTATAATTTTTGAATTACTTAACCACAAAACAACAAAAAATTCTCAGAACGTTTATAAATAAAATTATATTACATTAATATTTATATATGATATTTCAATTGAACATTTCAAATGATTATTTTGAGACATCTCGTGATTATAGAAATGTTTCGAATACTAATAATTCGATTATTGAAATCATTCGATTATGCCCATCACTAGTATAAATATAATTTTCCTATTATTAATAACTGCTGTGATAACAGCTGTGATTCTAATACTAATACAATCACAAATATATGATAGTACCAGTATATGTTTGGTATAAAAAAAAATAGTTTAAGATTTCCCTATTTACCCTTGAAGTAATTACGTCAAAAACTAAAGTCTGCTACGATGGGGGGGGGGGTTGATCGCCCCATTCGCCCTCCTCTGAATCCACTCCTAAAAAATAGTAAGTTTTTTATTTCGATTGTTTAGCCACACTAGAAGGTATTTGTACTAAAGTTGTTTGTATTTGTAAATCAGGGGAATCTATAATAATAAAATTAAAAAAAATTAAATTATTAAATGGTTAATACTCGTAAATTAATATATAAATAAATAAACAAATAATTTTTATACAGAAATAAATAAAAGCTTAGTCTGAAGTATTATTGTATTTGTAAAGTACAACCGGTTTCGAATTAAAAATGTATCATCATGTATATACAAAGTCAATAAAATCGTGACTTATTTTATATTCAATTTTTATATTTTTAGGCTTGGTATATATAGACGGTAACCTATATCTGACGGTACATTTTTTTAAAGTATGACATAATTCGAAACCAGTCGTACTTTAAAAATATAATAATACTTCAGACTGAGCTTTTATTTATTTATTTCTATAAATAAACTATTTGTTTATTTATTTACATATTAATTGATGAGTATTAACCATTTAATAATTACATTTTTTATTATTTTATTATTATAGATATAGACTCCTCTGATTCACCAATATAAACAACTTTAGTACAAATACCTTCTAGTGTGGCAAAACAATCGAAACAAAAAGTTACCATTTTTCAAGATAATCTCTTGAGTGTCATTAAAAAAGAACAAACTACTAAAAACAAATAATTTCACGAAAATAAATTCCTTGTTGTTAAATATGCAGAAAATGGAAACTGAAGAAAAATTAAAATTTTGAATATAAGTTATGCAAGTTTTTAAAAATATATTTTATAAAACCACTTGTCCAACTCAGCCTAATCCAAAGCTTATAATTATGCCCGCACTTAGTTCAAATTATTATCAAATCTTAAAACAAATTAAATCCTACATCATATCAATATTTGGAACATTTCTAGTTTACGGGACACCCAAAAATTTGCCAATTTTTTTGGGGACTTAGTCATAATTTGGGTGAAAAAAATGTTGGTGAAATTAGAATTTGGCGCAAGAACTTAGTTTTGAAGTTATAGTTAATTAAAGTTTATAACTATACACTAACTTTTTTAAATACTTATTTTAGAAATGTTTAAAAGCGTTACGCAATTAGTATCGTTTTTAGTAACAGCATCGTTTATTTATCCACGTAACCGAGTTCGATCCTCGCATGGTAAAATGAAATTGTGACTTTTTTTTTTTAACGATAATTTTGTATCTGGTTTGATCTCTTATCGTAATGAAAATTGTTTGCATTTTTTTTTCGAAAAATCGGAACTTTAATTTTAAAAATTTTAGGACTTCACTCGTTACGCCTACCGGCTCCACTCATACACTCAAGAGCCACTGCGTAGCACTTTTCGGGGGATGGGGCTTCACTCCAAGAAGAATTATAGTCTAAACCTAACCTAGTTTTTGTACAAATCTTGATACTATTGTAAATGGGATTGTGCTCTGTATGTGAACCTAAAACCTCGCTACGCGAGTAAAACCCTGAATCATTATTAAAATTGTTTATACTTTTTTTGTATTTTTTCTTGCATATCGAATATCTAGTGCTGTGAAACAGACTATAGATACTGATATAACCTCATTATAAAATAATTATTATACCGACTACAAAAAAAAAAAAGTGGAATAAATATTTTTTCCCACTTCGGTATTGAACTCATATCTCTCACTTTAATGGTGGTTCTGCGTCACCTATTGCACCACGACATACCTGAAATAAAAAAATTAAAAAAATAAATTATTTAATTAAACTATCAAACTTCAATAAGCTATTACTTCCAAAATAATTATCTGCGCCAATTTTCGTTTGCACTATCGTTTTCAGCGTTAAAAAATACATAAGTTGACATAAGAAAAAATCCGAAATTTTGGGTGTTCCGTAAAGTAGAATTATACCAAATATTTTAACCCTATTTGACAACAAATGATTATTTTTACTCAAAACGAAACAAATTATGATTTTTCATAATGTAAAATTAAAAATTAAAAAATATATGAAAATTTCACATGATTCAGCGTTGTCTGTACCACATTCAGCCCAAACGAAAACAATATACAGTGATGAATTAACACATAATCCTCATTTATTTTTCCATATTATTTTATCCTACAATTATTTGTATAAATTTGATATATTACAAGATGCAAAAAACAGTTGTCATTATTTTTAAAATTATAATTAATACATTTTTCAACGTTCTTACTAATTAATAGTAATTGGTAAACGTTCTTTCGGTATTATTGTATTCTGTTTTATATTAGTTGCTTTTAATAAGAATAGTATGATGATACTCAACATTTCATCAAATGATTTTTGGGTAAATCGCAGTATATTTGATGAAATTGGCTTTCGTTCTTTCTTTCTTCGTTTAATGGATACACTGCATATTTTCTATTAATTTTAACTGTATTATCCTTTTCAAATACTAATTCAGTAATAAACAATCACAGCCGTATTCAAATTAGTTATATTGCACAACGGGTTGTATTTCCCAAGGAATAAAAAATTAATATTACAACATGAGCATTCATAATTTTTTTAAATAAAATTACCGCTGATGAATCATAGTTTTGGGAAAAGATTATAGAGAAGAGAATAAGAAGTGAGCAGTGGCGTATTTACGGGGGGAGGGGGTGTTCATAGGATCCGGACCCTCCCTATTGGTTCCATAAATTTATATTATTTATTTGATTTATTAATTCTTATTATTTTCATTTATAAATAAGAAAAATTAAAATAAATAAAATTTGGGTATACAAAATCTAATATTTTAATAGAATTTAGCAAATGCTATTGGTACAGAAATAACCAAAAAACGCACAGCAGGAAAACAATCAATTCTGATTATTTTTATTTTATCATTATTTATTTTTTTACGTTTCTAAAGCCCTCACTCTAAGAACATTATAATAATTTAAAAAAGACCTAGGGGGGTTAATCCCCCACATCACCCCCTTGTCTATGCCACTGTTTGTACTGACCTTGTTTTGTTACTCAAATTAAATATTTCATTAATATAATATGTTGATATGTCTGGTTCAATTAATGTCATAATTCTGTTACAAAATCTTTGAGATTAAAAAAAATGCTAATAAGAGATATGAAACAAATGCTGTAAGAATTGTAATGAAAATGAATGTTGAAGGAAAAACAGGTAGAGGAAGACCCAAAAAGAGATGGTTGGATACAATTGAAAATGATATGAGGGCCGTTGGTGTATGCTTAGGGGATGTAAAAAATCGAGACGAGTGGCGGTCTCTTACTATATGTTTTTAAAAATCTGTTGCCTGTATATTTAATTAATTAAAATCAATTACATTCAAGTAAATAAAAAAAATCACGCATCACAATTTTTTATTAATTAAAATAGTACGTGATTAATACAAACTCTGATTGTTAAAATATAAATAATTTATTGCATACAAATATATTATACATGTATGTATTGTAACGAGAATAAAATATTGATTATTGACGCAAGTAATAGGTGAAAAATGAAACTGATGTATTAAATTTAAATTTTTTTTTTCTTACAAGGCTTAATTATAAGAAAAATTATTTATACAAAAATATAATTTAAGTCCCATGGTTAACTAGGTTATCTATATTTTTGGTATATTATTTTACTGAATCCATGTCAGATCTATTTACATGGCTTTGAGTTAATCAAGGTTAGTTTTAAAAGATTTTAGACAAATATTTCAAAAGTCCAACATATTCAATACATTACAGATTTATACGACTAAAAAAAAAAAAAAAAAATAGGGTATGATAAAATATGATAAATTTTAAAAAAATACTGATTTGGTTTGATTATGGTTAAAATAATTTTATTTCCAATAAATAATGATATTTGTTTATATACACGGATCATCCATTTTTTTTGCAGAAAATAGATTATAAATATATTTATAACTCTGAATAAAATTGTAGTTAATGGATACTTTTCCCAAGAAAATCAATACTAAATGAATAGAGAAGCTGCCTTTATTATTATTATGAAATAACATATTCAATCATTCAACAATAAAATTCTTTTTTTTTTTTTTATATAAAAAAAAAGAATATTGTAAAAAGAAAAGAATCTCTTACTTATAGTTTATTTTGTGCTCAAAATTTTTTTTACTAATTTATGATTAATTTACTGCAAAAATATTACCTATATACATTAATTTGAATGGAGCACAAAATCGTTTTAAATTATTTAATGTTTCTAAATCTAAATTATACCAATTACAATAGACTAAAGACAAAATAATTAATACAATAATGAATAAATAATAATAATAGTAATCACATTTAAAATTCAACAGTTAATACATCATAAATAAAATATTTTGAAATGAGAAAACTAACGTTAAAAACATGATTTAATATTTGATATATCCTATTGATGTTTGGTCATATAAAATAACAATAGAATTCAATATTTGTAATAATAATAATAATAATATTAAACCAAATTGATGGGTATGATAATTAGAATAAATGAATATTATAAATATTGTGATAGTTAAGACATGGTGATAATGGAATTCACTTTGGAAAAGGATATTTGCCAATAATTATAATGATATATATTCATATAAAGTTAAGGGATCTTTCAATAACAACAACTGAAAACATTTCTAATTTACAAATGGTTAATTGATTAATTAGATGGTGGTGATGACTTATGAACTGTATCTAATAGCAATTGTAAACCAATACGTTCTTCACGTAAATCATTCAATTGTTTTTGCAGTTCTTGATAGACTAGACGTAAATGAGCATTTCTTTCTTCTAATCTAAATAGTACAAAAATATTTTTGGTATTTATTAGTTTTTGATCAAACATGTTATTGGTTCATCATCAATTACTTGCAAAATGATGATGATTCTATTGGCTGTACACCATGAACTTCTGATCCAGCTGTAGACGAATTTTCATTGCTTTGTGTTTCTGAAACTTTTAAAGTTATGTATAAATTATTTTATCGAGAAATATATTATGAATGACTATTTTGAGTTTTATACTATAAGTGCAATTTATTATAACTATATATAATTATTTATATACATTATAAAATAGTTAATATAGATTATTTTTATTTTTATAATTTGTTTTAATAAACTTACGTGGTTTTTTGTAAACTTGAAAAGCACCAGGACATTGCGCAAAATCAGCAAATTGACCTGATTCAGTTCTTTCACAATTTTGTCTCAATCCATTGATTTCAACATTTGAATTCTAAAATAAAATTTTTATAATGGATTTTCATATAAGATTGAGATAATATTCTTACTGGACTAGGAGTTATACGTGGAGGAACAACTGGAGGTCCTTGCGTTGAATTTACAGCTCCAAATTTGCCTACAAAATAATATTATTAGATATTTTAGTTAAAATAAAAATGTAAACTTAAATTAAATTACCAAGTTTATTGAGATCTAGAGAGGAACTACGCATATGAGCACGATAAGGTCGTGGGGGTGGTGGTGGAGGAGGTTCTTTCTTTGCCATTACAACAGGCAAACTTGCAGGTCCTGAATTTCTAAAATAAAATAATAAAAATGATTTAAATAATTATAGGTTATAATTAAAATAATAAAAAAAACAATTTAACTTACATATCTTCATTATAATATGTTGGTAAAGGAGGTGGAGGTATAGCACCTGGTCCTACATCTACAATATAAAAATATAGACTAAAAATATTAAAATTTTCAGTTTAAAAGTTTGATAGATAATTTAATGAAAATGTAATAAATATAATGACAATTAAGTCTTAATTTTTTATGAAGTACATACGGCTTAGTTTTTTAGCTTGAGGCCTTTGAATTGATTTAATTGAAACTATTTCTTCTACATTATTTGGAGGTATATCTTTTTCTTGTTCTTCCAAACAATTATCAATACCTGGTGTAACTCGAACAGCTACTGGATGTAAAATTTTTGGATCCTGAATATCATACACAATAAAAAATAAACTTAAAAAACTACCACCTGTTTGTAATGAATTTAAATATATATATATATTTTTTTTAAATTGTATAATGATTATTTTAAGTTTAAGTTTTATAGTATTTTTAAACTTTAAAATGTCATATTAATTTTATCTCTAAAAATAAATTTATGGAATTTGGAATTAAGTGATTGTTAAAAAATAAAAATATTGACAAATTTATATAATGAATAATTGAACAATAATGTACCTGTTCAACAGAAGATTTTTGAAAATCAAAGTTTACAGGTTTAGGTCCAGGTGATGACAATGAACTAGTTGGGGAATCAATAAATTTGGTCCACTGTGAATATTAAATATGCAATCATTCAATTTTTAAGAATAGTCTTATAATACAAATAACAAAATAAAATTAATATTTACTTCTTTGCTTTTAATACTACATGTTGGCGATATAACAGAATTGTTTCCAACACTGATCTGAACTGGCGATACAGCTGGTGGCACTAATGATGGCGGTAATTTTTTAGGTAGAGTAATATTGTTGCGTCTAAGAACAACTAAGTGCATGGCCAATTTGAATTCAGCGAGTGAAAGTGCTCCATCTTTAGTAACATCAGATAGTTGCCTAAGTAAATAAAATCAACTATAATATTTTTTTAGTTAATATATTATTATAATATACCATATTTCCTTAAGTTCATGCAATGGTAAACGAGATTTTTCAAAAAATGATCGAGCTATTGAGCCTGACAGTAAAGCTTTAGAGTTAGGCTGCATTGATGTAAATTGTTCTTCATAATATTTACTCTGTTCCTCATTCATACTCCAAATTCCAACACCATTAGCAGATGAAATTGTTTCACAATCAGAAGAATCTGCTTCCTCTTCTGTACCCAATAATTGTCGTTGTTCATCACCCCATGCTAGGAAAATAATTTGCATTGTTATTAAGATAATATAAATCAAATAATAAAGGTTTATGAATCAAAAGTATAAAATTAATTATTAAAAAAGAAGAATTTCAATTGTTGGATTTTATTATGTGGAAAATAAATTAAGTACTTTTATTAGTAATTATAAAAAATTATCAAGCTGATTAAAATGTGTAAAACAAGGAGTACAATATGATTTATCAAACATTAAATGTAGTTAAAATGATAATCATACTGTAATGAAAAATTATAAAAACCATAAATTAGTAATATTTATAAATGAAAGGATTAAATATTGTTAAATTTTATTAATTCATTTTATGCAAACATAGTATTAAGGAGAAAAAATTTTTAAAGCATTAACTCAACAGGTTGGTTAAATTTTAAAATAGATGAACTGAATTAATGACTAAAAGCACAACAACGGTTTAACTAAGTAAAAATAATTCATTACTTGGTCCGTGCCAATGGACCCAATTTTTATCTTGGACGCTGTTGGTGGGCGTAGGTGAATCACTAGCCGTGCTCGAAGCCTCTGTCGCAGAACTGTTTTGAGTGCGTTCCCCATCGCGTTCCGTTTTCATCATAACTACTTGACTGTCTGTCATAATAATTATACAATACTCCTGAAAAACGGTTTAAATAATGAAAAATTCGGGAATAAGATCTGGGAAAACCGAGACCATCGCTATTATCATTTTTTTACAACTAGAATTACCTTGTATGGTAAAACGCAAAACCATCATACGTTCACTTAACAATAATCGAAATTGGAAACATCGGCCGAGAACATGGCAGAAGACGAACTTTGTGAGTTTCAAGAGTGGCAAGAGCACGTCTTAATAAAAAAAACGTGAGAAACAAGACGACGTACGATTCACCTAGCACGTAGCAATTCACCGAGATATTGTTAATTGATCACAATATTATCAACAGTCAATTGATAAAAATAAATAAACAAATCGTACTGGTATGAAGAGAAGTCCGCGTTTTCTAACGCCGCCTTCCCGTTTATAACTTTGATCCGAACGGAACCGCCGCCGAAGGTTGTGATCACAACAGTACACTTCCCTATACCACCCGTGTTAGAGGTGATTAATAATATTATTATTATTAGTCAGCGGTTCCCAACCTTTTTAGTCGTACGGACTACCAATTTCGTAAAGAAAATCTTTGAGGCCCACTAATAGCTATTATGTATTGTGCACATACTTCAGTTATAAGTCAGTTACCTGTTATAGAAAGAATAAAAATCAATCTGTATTAAGAAAAACTTTATTAGACCTATTCAATCACAAGTTAAATAATTTAATGAGATTTTTTACATTGCCTGTCTCCCACAAGAGTTAATATCAGGATTAAAACTGGACAGTTTAAGTACGAAAATCATTCTCAACATCCAGTTTATTCCTATATTTATTTATTTGTTCACACATATAAGTAATGGAAAAGCCTATCAAGTTTCTAAATGCTACTGTGGCAACTGATGGATAGTTATTAATGCTATTATAATCAAAAATATTATTTTATAATAATATTATTTCAATCAGAAATATAGACGTTAGATCTGGTATCGATTAAAAAAATCCTACCAATAAAATGTTTTAAAACTATGGTAATGAGGGATTTTTTGAAATACTTATCAATATACATTTAAAAATAATATTATTAAATTTCGTGTTTTTTTTTCGGGTCAATTGTGACCAGTTTGATTTTTTACTGTCGGCGATACCTGCAGAAAAATTAGCAGTAACTGCTAATTAAAAAGAAGTATTAGAAAAGAAAGAAAAGAAGAAACTATTTAATAAGAAGATTATTATTATTGAAATATTATTGAAATCCAACGTGGGGCAATACATTTTAAATAGTTCATTTAAATTTCCAGAATCAGACTTTTTCCGTTTATTCACTATGTGAACTTCCTGAGATAAGATGAGTGCCTCGTGTAATAGTAGGTGATGAAGCTTTTCGTTTCGTATAAATATATAACGAAAATATTTATTATAATTTAATTTATAATAAATAGTGAAAAGTGATTAGTAACAATAACAATAAAAACACAAATAAAAAAAATTAATAATAATAACAGAAATTGTATAGTAGTAATATTGTATAGTACATAGTCAATAATTGAGGTTAAAAAATAAAGTAAAATATCTGGTTAATTAATTAATTAAATGTGGGTTTAAATTTTGGTTCATGAGCGAGGATTTAAAATTTTTTTTCTAAATATTCTCTAGCTTCTTCCCTGACTTTGTGGAATCAAGGCTTCTTTCGAAACGTGACAGTGAACATTCTTATGTGATATGTCTCACTGTCTGCATCTGATTACATGCGCAGTTTGGTGAGTCCACCATACCCCTTTATGCATGAGGTAATTGCATCTACTTTGCTCCATCCTCACTCTGTTAAGTATAGTCCATTCTGCTCTCGGGAGATTAAATCCAGGGACTATGTGGGCATAGTATCTGAAAATTTCGTGTAAGTATGGCCAATAACATTTTTCATTAGGAAAATTGAAATTTTCATTTAGGATACGAAGACAAAGAGTGACTTATACACAATACACTACATCGAGAACGTACGTAGTAATTGTAGCTACTACAGTAACTATAACTAGTAAATAATATACTTACTTTCTTCAAAAAAATAAAAGGTCTATAACATAACATAAAACTAGAACTATACAGGTGTTATAGCTATGGATATAAGATAATAAATATTATTGGTTAGTTTTTGTCACAGACATATACATATATAATATTTTATGTGAAAATATTTATTATTTAGTTCTGTTTTATTCTTTTTACTTTTTAGTAATTATTGTTAATGATTTAAGCATAAATTTAAAACGGGGCTGGATTCTGCAGGTCTGGCCATTGCCAGAGTGGTCATAGCCGTAAATACGCCTATGTATGTGGGTAAGAACGTCCAATAGATATTTGTTGCGTATTCTATCGTCTGCCCAATTCTTCTTTCATTTTTCCTCCATAGATTCCGAAAAATCAAAGCTTGTCCAAATCGGATGTCTGGATTTAAGTCCTATGTCGGGTGCCTGGAACACGTCATGGTAGACAGGCAGGTCGAGGTAGTTTTTGATTCGCTTTAGTATCTTGGCAGTTGCGACGTAGCGGTGAACGTCGGGAGGAGCTATGTTAGCGAGAACCGGCAACCACTGTATGTTAGTAGATTTAATGACCTCATTTATGATCCTTGTGTGGTTAAGCTGCGAGTTTACAGATTTACCGCATGTGCTTCTTCCCCACAAAGGTGCGCAGTACTCAGCAATATTGTAAACTAAAGCCATAGCCGACGTACGCAGTCTTACATCTATGTCGGCCTTACATCCCCAGCTTGTTTCTGCTAATTTTGTATAGATGTTATTTCTTGATTTTATTTTATTCTTTACTCCTTCAATGTGATGCTTGATATTTAAAGATTTATCCTGTTTTATGTCGAAATATTCTGGGTTGCGTTTGTTGGGTATTGGTAGATTATTCTCTTAATTGACAGATAGAGCTTTATATGTGCTTCTTTGTTTTTAAGATGGAAGACTATAGCTATGGTCTTATTAGAGTTTAATGTAAGGTGCCATATCTTAAAATACGTGTGAACTTTTTTCAGGTCCTTCCTTAGTATTTTCTCCAATTCTACGAGATTGCCTGAACTACTAAGCCTATATCGTCGACGTACATACATATCCTTGTTGTAGTTTCCGTTATGTCCGCTGTATATACATTGTTGTATAATATGCTACGTGAGGGATGATTAGAAAATAGTAAACGGTAATTTCTTAAATGCAGTGGAAACGCCAATAAACAATACTAATTTCTCATCGAGGAGGTTTTTAAAATATTGAAGATTTAGAAGTAAAAGATTTTATAAAGATTTTTTTAAGAACGAAGGAGCTGTTTCCTGCCAACTAAATAATTAAAATTCAACTGACTATAAAAAAAAATAAAATATGGTTCAATTTTGTTGTACCTACTGTAGTCTGCGACCGGTAACAAAATTCGTACCGAAACTTTTTTATTTATAAATGCATGTTTGACTATTTTTTAATTTTATAAGTGCATATTTGACAGTTATTTGTATGAAGGAGTAAGTTTTTTAATTTTATAAAAAAAAATTATGGATTTATTTCTTCATTTATCACTAACTGAATCCAATAAAATAATTTAAACAACAAAAGAATACATACATTCTGCAAAAATTGAAGAATCTGCACAAGCTAAAGCAATTAATGACAAAATGAAAAAAGTATTGGAGAAAGATGTTGGATTTGATCAATTTCAAAAAATATCGAACATTTTAAATGGACAAAATGTAATTAGTAGTAGTGACCTACCACTTTTTAAGTTCACACCAATAATTTCCGTAGACGAAGAACGTTCCTTTTATAATTATAAAAATATTTTCGCTGATAACAGGCGGTCATTCAAATATCCCAACTTAAGAAAATATCTTATAATCCAATGTACCTAAAGCTCAAGGTAATTAGCACTATATTAAAATAAAATAAAATGTATTCATTTAATTTATTTTTAAAATAATTTAAAATTTTTTGTTTTAGATAAAAACTTAATATAAGATGAAAATAAATCTGATATTTTAATAGCATATTTATTGGTTCTTTAGGGCATTTATGCATGCATATTTTAAGTTTTTTAAGGGCATGAAGTCACTAGCCCTAGTTATCACACTTCGAGAGAACTAATAGGTACCAGTCATAGACCTTATACTTAGTACCAGTACCAGTAGGCCTAACTTAAACCTAACCTATTTATAATCATGGGTACCAGTGACCAGGGATCTCACTGACCGATTCTCGTCCGCCGTCTACATTACCGGTCGCACGGCGTCGTTGAAAACTGTTGGCTGCACTGCACGTGGCCGACCGTAAGCCGTAGCAGACCAGTTTTTTGATTCGCCATCCTCGTCCAACTACTACTCGGCGTTTTTCGATTATCACCTCTCTTTATTTTCTCGTGTTTTTGGCGCAATTTATTGTTTTTTTTTTTCCCATTAATATTTCCTGTGTGCTGCACATCGTTTTAATCTAGCGCGCGTCCTATTCGTTTCCCTACGATCTCGGTGAAATCATCCGGTACCGCAGCGAAAAACGTCTGCGTAGCCATACGACTAATCCAGACGATTGCAGTGTGCGCGTCTATAGTGAACCGACTACCGGCGGCGACTATAACAACAATGGGTGACAAGGAAGCTGGTAAGTACCGGCGAATGTGTCCGATCAACTATCGTTTTTAATGGTTCTATTTGTTTTCTGCTTTCGTTAGACACTTTTGACGAGGCAGTTGAGGAACGCGTCATCAACGAAGAGTACAAAATATGGAAGAAGAATACACCATTCTTGTACGACTTGGTCATGACGCACGCACTCGAATGGCCGTCATTGACTGCCCAGTGGCTGCCAGACGTTACTCGGTAATAAATAAACAGACAACTGCCCTCATTCCGCCATATTTACTCCTTGCCTTCTTTTGATTCGTACATACTGTTGCTATTCAATAGTGACAGGTAAACGGTTGTCAAATTCACAACCAATGTATGATAATCAAATCATTGATATTGATCCTAATTGTACCTTCTGTGTAATTTCTACTATTTCCTTGCAAAAGTTGAGTTCTCAATGAAGTATTGGTTCCCTTAGTTTTTTTATATTATAGTTATGTTTTATTTCTGGTAAAAATAATCATAAAGATTTTTGTGATTGTTATATTAGTACAATATAAACTTGAATGCTGAATAAAAATAAATTATAAATAAGAAAAAATCTGATATCAGTATTCAAATTAAACTTATTACATTAACTTTATCTTATTAAAAAAAAAAAAAATCATTTTTTCTATAATTTTAATATACAATTCTCTTAACTGTTACTTAAATTTTATTTTTGATTTCATCATGTTTTTAATGTAATTTGCTCTAATAAAGCTATTGTATCAATAAAAATTAATAATTTGATTTGAAATTTTTCTTTTCTTCTGTATATGTTATATTATGCAATGTCATAAATAACAATACAACAAATTTAATCAAATTTTATTTTTATTTCAAGAGTAATATTATCTTGTGTTTTTAGTATCCTTGGAAATTATTATTTTGTAACCTTTTAATGTAGTGTTTAAAACTATAACTCTATCATATAATGACACATTTTACAGGGCTTATAATTTAATAAAAACAAATAATTTTAAGATTAACTTATTGATAATGGATTTTTAAAGTATAGTGTATCCAAATTCTTAAGTCTATAATTTTAATAAAAGTGCTATTTACTTCCATTCATTCCAACAACAATTTTTAAAAAACTTTTTTTTTAATAAATTAACGAATATTTTTAACTATGATATTAAGTATTAAACTTGAATAAAAAATATTACTAACTTAATTATTATTATTTTTTTAAAAGTAAAAAAAAATCAAATTTTGAACTTTACCAAAATATTTTGTTGAATTATATTAATATATTCATCTTTCAATTGATAATATTTTAAGTTATTAATTTGTGTTATACTATTTTAGTCCTGAAGGTAAAGAATATTCCATTCATCGTTTAATACTTGGTACTCATACTTCAGATGAACAAAATCATTTATTAATTGCAAGTGTACAGTTACCAAATGAAGACGCTCAATTTGATTCTTCTCATTATGATGGTGAAAAACAAGGTATAAAAATTAGTATTTAATTTATAATTATTTTTAATGTCTAATATTATGGCTTATTATAGAATATGGTGGATTTGGTTCAGTAAGTGGTAAAATCGAAATTGAAATCAAAATAAATCATGAAGGTGAAGTAAATCGTGCTCGTTACATGCCTCAAAATCCGTGTGTAATTGCTACTAAAACTCCTTCTAGTGATGTATTAGTATTTGATTATACTAAACATCCATCTAAGCCTGATCCTAATGGCGAATGTCAACCAGATTTAAGGTGTTAAATAAATATATTTTACAATAATATACACAATCAAATTGAAATACACATTTGTAAAACAGATTACGAGGTCATCAAAAAGAAGGCTATGGCTTATCATGGAATCCCAATTTAAATGGTTATTTGTTAAGTGCTTCTGATGATCATACAATTTGTTTATGGGATATCAATGCTACTCCTAAAGAACATAGAGTTGTAGAAGCTAAAACTATATTTACTGGGCACACTGCTGTTGTTGAAGTACTTCATGAGACATTGTAATTTAATTAAAATTATTTTAAATTAATTTTTTTATTTTTAGGATGTTGCATGGCATTTATTGCACGAATCATTGTTTGGATCTGTTGCTGATGACCAAAAACTAATGATATGGGATACACGTGCTAACAACACTAGCAAACCATCACATACTGTTGATGCTCATACTGCTGAAGTAAACTGTTTATCATTTAATCCATATTCAGAATTTATTTTAGCCACTGGAAGTGCTGATAAAGTAAGAAAAATCAAAGAAATTGTTTACTCTAAATAAATATATTATAACTAATTTCTATGGTTTCTTATTAGACTGTAGCCTTATGGGATTTAAGAAATCTTAAATTAAAATTGCATTCATTTGAATCGCATAAAGATGAAATATTCCAAGTACAATGGTCACCACATAATGAGACTATTCTAGCATCAAGCGGTACAGATAGACGTTTACATGTCTGGGATTTAAGTAAAATTGGTGAAGAGCAATCGCCTGAAGATGCTGATGATGGTCCACCTGAACTCTTGGTAATAATTTGTACAATATGTATATACATATGATAATTAACTTAATTATAATAATAATAATAATTATTATTAATGGTTTTCATAATTCATTTGTTTAAAAATTTTCAGTTCATCCACGGTGGTCATACTGCTAAAATATCTGACTTTTCTTGGAATCCTAATGAACCATGGGTCATATGTTCAGTATCTGAAGACAATATTATGCAGGTATTTGAAATTTATATTTCAGTGCATAAAACAGTTATATTATAATTTTACCTATTAATTTTAATTTTAGGTGTGGCAAATGGCTGAAAATATTTATAATGATGAAGAACCAGATGCTAGTAGCCCTGAAGTAGATACACCTGTTCCTTAAATTCTCTTTTTGTGGTTATTAATTTTGTCAAAATTTATTGTAAGCGTATTATGTATGGTTTTTTTTTCTTATTTAAAAGGTTAAGTTTTCAAAATGTAAATATATGTGCACCAAGTATATTTAATATTATATTCACTCTATTCATCCCGCCTTGTAATTTGTACTATATAATATATTATCTATTTTACATTCAAATAATTTTTATATGTAAATTTAATATTGATTACTTAAGATGCATTGAAATTCTGCAAACTAATGATAATAATTATCAGAGCCATTATTAATGATATATAGTTAATTATTTTTTTTTATTTATTACTTTTTTTATATACCATGATAATTAGGAAATAAACTTAATAGTAATGTACTCTGAAAAAGTATTAATGTTTATTATTGTTCTACAAGTGAAAAAGAAAAATCAAACAAAATTAAAAAAATAATAACAAAACAATGAATATTTTTTTTAAGTACGCATGCGAAATGAAATGTATTTTTAATCTATTACAATTTATAAGTCTCAATTTTATATATATATATAAAAAATATATATATATATATATATATATATAAATAAGTATGCATTTGATACACACACATTAATACATTTTAAACGGACCTAGGTTCAACTATAAATTATCACAATCTTTTCATTACAATCATAAATGTTAACAAAGAAAAAATCCTCAGGGTATCCCATAGAATTTTTTCAGGTTTAGGAACGAAAAAAAAAATTTACACAAATTTATATAATGGTTAAAAAAACTAAATTTAAACTTAACATAATGTCTTAACGTTAATTTGTTCATTTCGATTTTATGTTCCTTGTATTTGTGCGCCTATTTATTACAAAGATGCAAATCAAATGTAATGAGAGAAAATTATATTAAAAATTGGAAGATCAAATAAACGAAATATTTAATTAAATAAATTGAGGTTGAAGCCTCATTGGTCAAAAACAGAAAAAAAAATTAAGGGGATATTTTATAAATTAACTGTAAGAAAGTTAAAATAATAAAAGTAAATGGGAAGGGATATTTAATAACTACATTATTTTTGTACCATTTTCAAAAATCAAAAAATAAATTATTGAAACTATTAAAGAATCAAATTTTTAATTTATTACAAAGTTTTTTATAATATGTCTAATGTAGGATAGAATCTGTTGAGAAAGAGAAAATGTTGTTGTCAGTTTTGAAGAACACAGCAATTCTGTATACAAACAGTAAAACAAAGTAAATGTTATTATAATAATTATTGAAATATTTTTTGGACTAAATATAAAAACCTAAATTATATTCTATACATTTTTCCAATTAATAAATAACAATAATTTGAACATGAGCATTACTTAAAATTATTAACTAAGAATGTGATAACTGTAAATAATGGGCAATATAGCAAATTCCAATGCATCAATCAACATTTGCCATTTCAGTTTATATAATAGTAAACACCTATTACTAAATATAAGGAAGAGAATATTTCCAAGATAATGTCATATCTTCCTAGTAAATGTAAGACGTGTCAAACAGTTATCAACAAATCGAATATTATTTAACGGTTTAAGAAACATTTAATTTAATACATTTTTATTTATTTATTTATATTATTTATTTAAAATTAAATTATACAAAATTTATAATTTCATACTTTCAAAGAAATGTTAAATTCATATTTAATTTACAATTTTATAACTTCTGTTTTTTGAAAAATTTATATATAATTATATAAATATATTTGAAAATTTTTTAAATTAAACATGAATTTAAATGTTAACATTTCTTTAAAAGTATAATAATATAAATTTTGTACATTATAATTTTTGTATTAAATCCTAACTTTTAGTATAACTATTATTTATTATGTCTAGAATGGACAAGACTGAATTTAAACAGATATTAACTAAAAAAATTGAAAACGCTATACTACTAAAAGTACGAAGAGCTTGACTTATAATCATTGTAAAGACATGTGTTAAGCTTTGTTTTTCAGTATACTATTTTTATTATTAAAATAATAATATTTACTTTTAAAAGAAAATCAAGCTTCAGTGACTAAATGTGAACTTTTTTTAGGTGTATATATAGTGGCGTTTGGGTCAAGGCTAGACTGTGGTGAATTACTACCACCAAACCTCATTGTTGGTGACCCTCCAACAGAGTTTACCATGTGGTATGTGTTGTTTGGTGGCATCATTATCATTGTCTGAGCCATTTTAGACTTAAGTTCTTCAATCTCTTTTTCTTGAGATGAAATTTTATCTGACAACAAAACCCTACATTATATCACTATTCAAATGTATAATTATATTCAAAATATTACTAATTTTAATTTCTAGTTGTCTTTTAGCTTCTCCCAACGCCGAGAACAAGTCAAGTTTAATACGTGTTTCTGCACTCAAACTATGTTCCAAATGAGCGTTTTTGTCTTTCAACGTTGACAACGCAGACATTACAAAATCAATTTTATCTTGACTTTGTTTGTATGGTTGAAGCTCCTACAACAACAAAATAATCGATGTACAATATTTAAATAGTTTTATTAATTATCATTTTTTTTAAAATTTACATTGATTTCTTTTTGAGCCGCTATATATTGATCATCTTTTATCCTAAGTTCTTTACGTAGTGATTTGGCTTCGTTTTCTAACTCTCTTCGTTTTACTTTGCAGCTTTCTGTACATTCTGGTCTAATATATACATATATATATATATAAAAAAAAAAAATGTATTTGGTATTAAACCACTAATTAATAATACAACCAGTATAAGTAAAACATTTACTTAATAGTTAAAGCTGCTAGTCTAGAAGCAGCGAGATCTTCAACTTTTTTTAATTGTCGTCTTTCTGAGACTAACTGTGACTCACAAGAAAGCCTTTGACGTTTTTCATCTGATAAACGTTTTTCAAGTTGAGAAACCAGCTGTCTATCATTTTGATGAGTTATAAGCAAATTGAAAACTCTATGTAAAATTAATTTAAATTTAATGTTTAATTCAATACATTTTGAATTATCATGTATTATTTTACTTAGACTTAGTATCTTCATGTTCTTGTTTCAACCTTGTTAAGTCATGTGAAATATTGGAATAATCACCCAAAGCTATGTTAAGCTGATTTCTTAGTTCTTTTTCTGCTAAACTAGATGAATGAAATTCACATTTAAGCCTTTTCAATTCATTTTCCAATCTAATAGTAAAATATAATTAATTTATAAAATAATATTAATATTATTTAATTTATAATATTTAGTGTAATATATCCTACGTTTCACAATATATGTCTTTTGGATCGACAATTAAAGGCTTGGTTAGTCTAGGCGGTGAAATGCCTTTAGCCTTAGAAGATTCTTTTGTGCTCGAGTTTTGATTATTACACTTAGGATGATTATTATTTTTAGCTGATGACACTCGAGTCACCCTTTTATTTTTTTCTGTTTCTTTACTTACATGATTTTCTTGATTACTATTACATCTATGATGAAAAATTTCATAAAATCATTAATATATTTACAGTAACATATTTATCTTAAGAAATAATACATACATTAATTTATCATCAGTTACTAATTTTTTATTTGGTATTTCAGTACATATTGTTTCCTGTTTTTCAGGTTTTTTATGTGGAACACTACCATTTGATACAACTTTATTATTAGGTATTTCGTTGTTTTCATCAGAAGGCACTTCACAAATTGATTCCAACCATATTTCTAAAAATATAAATAACATTTTAGTAAGGATTAATTTAATTAATTACTTCAAAAACTAATTATTTTGATAATAAAATACCTCCATCATCATTGTCTTGACTAGTTATAATGGAGCCGGTAGTTCTATCAAATGGTAAAGCATCTAATAACAAGTTCTGATAAAACTCATTTTCCTTTGAAACCCTTTGTTGTTGTTTCTGAAGAAAAAAAATATAGTTAATAAAATATGTTTTAAGAATATGATAATTAGATTTAATATAACACTTTTATAAAAAGTAAGTACGTAAAAATTATATTAATTACCTGTCTCAATTTGAGACTTAAATAACTTTTGAAACCAAAACATAGCGTAACAACGGGATACCCAATACTAAAAAGTGGTAAGCAATATTGTATAAATAACACAATATTATAGATATATTTGTATGTATCTTACCAGTTAGCAGCTAAAGGCTTACATAAAATCAATTTATAGGGAATATGGTCAGGGTTATTCAGTCGAATATAAGCCTCCACATAGATGTACAAGACTAATAAGGTTACCACTGGCCAAGAAACACATTTTTTCTAAAAAAATATATACAATTTTTAGGTAATTTAAAAAATACTACATAAAACAAACTGTTATTATTATTTTACTAACCAGCTTGGTAAATATATTGCACCCAAAAATATGTACTAGCAACGAACAGTAACCAATGTACAGGTATGAAGAAAAAACACACCATGTCCGATGTTAGTGCAATACAAACAAAAAACACTGTATAAACCTATAACATAAGAAAGAGTAAATATAATTATTGAATAATTTTAATTATAATATAATGTAGGTAGCTGATATTAAAAAAACATTTAAATTAAGATTAGGTAATAATAATCTTTATTTATGTAATCTAACAACTATTTATTCTGAATAAATTAATACTTAGAAAGGTATTTCTTTGTTTGAGTCTATCAAGAGTTTTAAAGAAGTTTCATTAAATACAAAATATCTGCATTAGTACTGCCTATAATTGTTATAGATTAAAATTTAATATTCTTAATTAGTGGTTAGCTGTGATTAATGGTTTTTAATAAAAATTCATTATCATTTAATAGTTGTAATTAAGGTTCAATAAGAATGAATTAAATAGATTCATTGGTAAGAAATTATGAGATGTTTGAAAATAGTAATCTTTCCATATAACAATAAGATTAGATGTTACATTAGTACTTACAAATCCTTGATGTTTGATCCCTTCAACGATTTTGTGAAATAAAAGCCAAAATGGCCAGACGTACTCGAATCGAAAATGTAATAAATAATCGAGTAGTATGAGAACAAGCCAAATACCGAACAGCTTCAGATAATGAACGGAACTAAAACAACAAACACGGTCAGTTCCGAGCCACTCATAACACACCTATTTGTCATTTTTTAATACCTCCAGTAGATTCCTTCGGTGGCGGATTTGTTTCTTTTCAAGGCCTTTCGAGATTTTCCGCAATCGCCATTCCTTCTCTTCATACTACCAATTATTTTGTCTATTCAGATACATATATAAAAAATCGTGAATATGATGGTTGGAAAAACGTAATAGAAAAGAGCCGTGTTAAAGTGTGCGGCCAGGGTATTTCGTTGCGGTGCCCCGTTTCACATAGTGTATATTTATACTTATGTTTCGAGAAACCGTAGTTGATTGCAGTATATTATTATTATTCAAAGATACGAGTTACAAAAATAATAAATAGAAGAAGAAATAAATCCATACAAATCATAACCAACAAATCCTGATCACTTGGCATAAACGAGAGATAAGACTGTTTGGATGATAAATATTTTCCGCTCGGCGGCGGCTCCGTGCGGGCGCAGCAGGCTCGACGAGCTCCGTTCACGGACCCATGGTCACGGTAAGTGCTACGGTCACGTGCGCGCAAAAATCATCACGATTCCAACGCGACTTAGCGGTGCCGAAATGTCACGACCCGTTTTACCCGTTCCGTTTCCGGATTTCCGAAATTCCAAATTCCAAATACATACCATATATGTTTTAAGCAAGCCCGAAGGTTCGCCTTTACCTTCGTCCCGCCACGATACCGAATTAATTCCGAGGCTCATGAGTAGCAATTATTATTACTCTTGACAATGCGTTTTTTTTTCTCCATGAAATCCAAAAGCATTTGACGACGACTTTTGCGTGCATTTCAACCGATCACGGTGGTCGAACGTTTTCGATTTTTCCTAAGCGCGCCGCGACCGATCATCCCCACACATATGCAAAATGTTGTACATGGACCGTCCCGACATGAAAACTAGGTAGATATGTTTTGTTAACAAAAAATATGAATAATTTTTTTAGAAATCACAAAATTATAAGAAAAAAAATTACCACATAACACATAAATATGGAAGATTTAGTTTTTCAATATTTTCAAATTTACATGCCAACATTTACAATGTTGGTCCGTACACATTATTTACAATTTTATAATAAATTATATGGGGACTCTGGGAATGCTTGTACGGAACCTAGGAGGCTAAGCATCCTTATACATATGCCTATGCGTTTTGTATATTTTGGTATTTAGTCGATGTTGGCATTTGTTTTGACGTTGACAAGACAGTGAACACCTGCAGTTGTAGAGGGAGCCGGGATGTTACGCCAACCAGTGAGCTTTTTTTCTACAAGTATTTTTTAATAACTGTTATACTACTTTTATCTTTATAAAGGTTTTAAATTTTTAAAAGTTTGACACAACAGCAGTAAATATTTTATCTTTATTTTACTTATTTTGATTTAAAAGGTTATAACACTTAATTAAAAATATGAACATTTTGATACTAGAGTAATTTTTATTATACTAGTTATGAAAGTTTTTATAGCTATTATAGTAGGTATGATGCCCTACTAAAATTTTTAAACACGCTACTGATGCCGCTCCCACTTCGCCATATCAAGTTACACGTTAGATACGTTTCTGGAAAATTCAATTTTTCAACATTGAAATTTTTACTGATTTATGTTCGTCCATGTGTATTCAACGAATTCCCTGCACATCCGTTAAAGTTGCGGGACAACCAGCGGCGGATTAACTAAAAATGTCGACCCGGAAAATTACCGTATGACCGGCCAACCATCCAATAATAATAATTTTCCATAAAAGTCTCATTTATTCATGGATTAAATATTCGTAGAACTGTTTACATCACGTTTACACTAGGTTTTTATCACATTCTTAAATCTCAATTAAATACAATATACTTAAATACATTATTTTTATAAAATAATTTTTAATCCAAGTACATCGGCCCAATGTTATATTACGACTACCGGCCCACCGAGATCTTTCCCGGTGTCCCGGTAGGCTAATCCGCCGCTGGGGACAACTGACGGTGTGAAACATTCAGTTTATTTAGAAGGTATATGTATTATATGTACATATGTATAGAATGTAATGTACTAATATATTGATATTGTTTAGAACATTTCTGCAAAATTCTATGAACTTGTTCAGAGAGTCTCCATTATTTTCTTGAAAAAATAAGTAGATAAATAAAAGTTTTACACGGGCCGCTTGATGTATAATAAATGTGATAATTTTGTTTCTTCTTTGAGGAATTTATAAAATAGAATATGCCTCTCCAAAATGTTTTTGATTTTATAATGAAATCTTATAAATGTGATCTACTTGAAATTGTATTCGAGGAAATTTATGGTGAAGAAGAATGAGAGGGGGTTCTTTTACAGAGAAAATGGTGTGAGAGTTATTAAGAAAATTTGAAAATATTTTAATTGCTATTTGTGTATCTATAAAAAAAGATATATGTAAAAGTATTGATAAATTTATTTCATAGAATATTATATTATAAAATCAATGAAGTAAAACTATTAAGTGTTCAGTTATAAGGTAGATACGAAATTTGGCTGTTGGTTCTAATGAATATGCAATATACCTGTGAATAAGGCTAATTAAAATATAAATAAGCCTTTATAATAACAACAACAATTTAATATAACTGACATTTGATTGGTATAATAATTTTCTTATCAGAATATATTTTAACAATGCGTGTTTAATGCATGTTATAGTGTTATCTATTTGAAATTCATTTTGTACAAGGGATATTATATATGTTTTCGAGTTACTTTTAATATTCTCTTGTCAAGGAAGGGAAATATTGCCATGATACTTGTGCAAAGATTTTAAATTGAAAATGAATGCCATTGCACTGATGATAACATTTTCTAATTATTAAATTAAATTACTTTTAATTATAAATTAAGTAAAAATAAAGTATTCAAATATAGTATTTATAATTAATACTATTACATTTATAATAGTACGAGTATCATGTTTTATTTAACTTTCCTCTACGTATTTATTTATGGGGATGAAACGGGGGGGGGGGTAGACTTTTAAAATTGGGTGGGTCTACCAATTTCCTCCAAAAAAAAATAAAAATAATTCTTGACCATTTTCCTCTAAAAAATAAAATAATTAAATCGTCAATCGTTGATAGGTTTCATCAAATTTTGAACAGTCGACAGAACTTTGTTCTAATTCCTTAAGTATTACTTTTTTTGGTTATGAGAATAAATCGTCAATTGCTTTTTGCTTACATGCATTATTCACTATTTGTCGATTTATTTTTTTTTTTGGTGGTGGCAAATGATTATGTAAATTGTTGTGAATTCATCGGATACTATTTCTTCAGTTTTATTTATGTATATAACTGCTTGACAAGTAGTTCAACAACATTACCAACGTGATAATCTAGATTCTGATTTTAACTTATAAGCTAAAAAATATTTGTAATTATTACGAATTATTAAAGGTTTTCCCCGAGAACTTTCAATAAACGTCGTTTTATCAGATAATGTTAAAAATTAAAATTTGATAGATTCACAAAAACTATAAAACACACTATAGACACTATTCGACGTACAGTAAGCTACTAAAAATATAGTATAGAGTATATCGTATATTTGTGTGTCTGTCTCATTCAATAAGTATAATCATAATAATCAGTGATAAATTATGATACACATTATAACAATATAAGTATATACGTATATGTTCGTATGTTATATGTACGTATCTTTATTAATTATAATCAAAATTATAATATTAAATTATCGACTGTTATAAATTGGCGAGTGCTGTCGGACACTTGAACTAGCGTTTTTTCCCAAGCCGATAAGAACGGGACCAGAATTTAATCAATAGATATGCGCAAAATGTGAGCTTACAACACTGGCTAAAATATTAGAGGATAATAGACATAATTTAAGTCAAAAATAACGTGGAGGAAAATGGAAACCAACTTTTTTTTTTTTTTGAGGAAAATGGACAGTGGAAGAAAATGGTACCTCGTTTTTGAAGAAAAATGGCTACGGCCATAAAATTACCATACAGTTATTTTGTTGAACCTTTAAATAAAATGTTAACATATTAAGCCTAGTATTAAATTCCTTTCGAAAATATAAACATAATAATAGTTGATTATTTATAATTTATTAATTATCGTTAAATAATTATTTATAATAGCTGATAATTAGCATAATTAACAAAATATAAATTTATTCGAAATACTCATTTATTATGAGGATGGGTATCATTGTATTTTCACGACTGATGAGTGATGTATAAATTTTTATCTTATAAACATATATTAATTTCATAAAGAATAAAGATATTTTTATTCCCACGCAAATATTGCAATTTTTATAAATATTAATATACCATTTACTCTTGATTCATTGTACATTACAATTGTTTATATATTTCTACTATGCAGGTTACGAAAATATAATTTTATGATTACGCAGGTATTTAGTACTAATTACAAGAATGTTCTTAAAGTGCAAACACAGAACACCCTGGTAGCTTTAAATCATATTTTGTTAGAAAATACTTATACATTATATACTTCAACCATGATATAATTATATTATTTTATACTTTCTTTTTGTACGTACAATTATTTTGATCCATATTTATTCGGATTTGATGACAGAAGAGGATAATTGTCCAATTTACATCCCAAACATTGAAAACTTGTAGAAAGTGTTTAGCATTAAAGAAATTATTATAGTATAAATTAATTCATATTAAATTTGAAACAAGTAATAAATTAATTTTTGTAATATTATGAGTAATGTAAATTATGTTTATTGATCAGTTTTTATTTGTATTTTTCTAAATTTAATTTATTTAGTTATTTGTGGATATATAAATATAAATATTTACTAATTTTATATTAATAATAAGTAAATTAAATTTGTGTTTGCAATTGTGATTTTTTTTTTTTTTTTAATCCACTAAAACTTAAATTTAAAATGATAGGGTAATAAAAGCTCGAGAACCGCTGCTTTAGACATAGAAATCCATGGTAAATTGATTTTAAATGTTTAAGAACAATTCTCTGATATCAGTCACTCATTTCTGTATCTCATTCCACTCTTGTACTTGTCAGTTTTTATATTACGATATGTTGAATTATAATATCAAAATATTACACAAAATGTTGTTGTTTTTAAGTTTCGTAAATAACCAAAAATAATGATTTTTTAACTACGGTGTTTGAAACACCGTGTTTTCCATTACCAAACATTTTTATCTCGATATCAAACATAATTACACAACAACTGAGAGATATCACACGAATATTTGAATCCCACGGTTCAATACCACACATGAAGATAGCCGATACTTATAAATTATTTATATAACCACATATCAATCATGCATGTATTGTACAAACTATATATCGTTTCTTATAAAATGGTAATGAAATTATTTTAAAATATTATAATTT